TTGAAATGTGGAATTAAGTATGGTAACTCTAGATATTTAATAGATGGGTAAAGGCTCTTCCTTATTCTTACTCAGGCAGGGCAAGTCCCACAGGAGAGGTGCAATGCTACAAGGAGGCAGATAAGACAAGGTGTACTTTTTCAGGAGTCCTGCCCACATTTCTCAGAACACCTCTGAGACTGGCTGCAACTTAGAGCGCCAGCTTAATTCTTCCCTGAGACCTGCATTGCCTTCAGACAGCTCGATGGTCAGATAACTCCATACCCTCCAACATTTCTCCAATGTAAATAGGGCCATCCTACCAGGAGGGGTGCACTGCTACATAGAGGCAGATAAAAACAGATGTACTTTTTTCTTGAGTCCTGCCCACATTTCTCAGAACAACTCTGGAGACTGGCTGCAACTTCAAGCACCAAGTTAATTTTTCCCTGTGACCAGGTGAGAAACAATGCTGAGGGATCTCTTTGCTGACTGTGTGTGTGTGTGTGTGTGAATGGGGGGGGGGGACACATGCAAGAAGCAAGACTAGGTGGTGGAGAGATGGAACAATGGAGGGGATGGAGAAGCAAAGGTCACTCCCCTCTCCCCATCACGAGCAGCAGAACATGGGAAAGTTGGATTCTTTGCTGGGAACTGGATGTACAGGTAGAATAGAACCAGATATCAAGGTGTTTTGTTTAGTCGTTTAGTCGTGTCCGACTCTTCGTGACCCCATGGACTAGAGCACACCAGGCACTCCTGTCTTCCACTGCCTCCCGCAGTTTGGTCAGACTCATGTTTGTGGCTTCGAGAACACTGTCCAACCATCTCGTCCTCTGTCGTCCCCTTCTCCTTGTGCTCTCCATCTTTCCCAACATCAGAGTCTTTTCCAGGGAGTCTTCTCTTCTCATGAGGTGACCAAAGTACTGGAGCCTCAGCTTCACAATCTGTCCTTCCAGTGAGCACTCAGGGCTAATTTCCTTAAGAATGGATGCGTTTGATCTTCTTGCAGTCCATGGGACTCTCAAGAGTCTCCTCCAGCACCATAATTCAAAAGCATCAATTCTTCGGCGATCAGCCTTCTTGATGGTCCAGCTCTCACTTCCATACATCACTACCAGGAAAACCATGGCTTTAACTATACGGACCTTTGTTGGCAAGGTGATGTCTCTACTTTTTAAGATGCTGTCTAGGTTTGCCATCGCCTTTCTCCCAAGGAGCAGGTGTCTTTTAATTTCGTGGCTGCTGTCACCATCTGCAGTGATCATGGAGCCCAAGAAAGTAAAATCTCTCACTGCCTCCATTTCTTCCCCTTCTATTTGCCAGGAGGTGATGGGACCAGTGGCCATGATCTTCGTTTTTTGATGTTGAGCTTCAGACCATATTTTGCACTCTCCTCTTTCACCCTCATTAAAAGGTTCTTTAATTCCTCCTCACTTTCTGCCATCAAGGTTGTGTCATCTGCATATCTGAGGTTGTTGATATTTCTTCCGGCGATCTTAATTCCGGCTTGGGATTCATCCAGCCCAGCCTTTCGCATGATGAATTCTGCATATAAGTTAAATAAGCAGGGAGACAATATACAGCCTTGTCGTACTCCTTTCCCAATTTTGAACCAGTCAGTTGTTCCATATCCAGTTCTAACTGTAGCTTCTTGTCCCACATAGAGATTTCTCAGGAGACAGATGAGGTGATCAGGCACTCCCATTTCTTTAAGAACTTGCCATAGTTTGCTGTGGTCGACACAGTCAAAGGCTTTGCATAGTCAATGAAGCAGAAGTAGATGTCTTTCTGGAACTCTCTAGCTTTCTCCATAATCCAGCGCATGTTTGCAATTTGGTCTCTGGTTCCTCTGCCCCTTCGAAATCCAGCTTGCACTTCTGGGAGTTCTCGGTCCACATACTGCTTAAGCCTGCCCTGTAGAATTTTAAGCATAACCTTGCTAGCGTGTGAAATGAGTGCAATTGTGCGGTAGTTGGAGCATTCTTTGGCACTGCCCTTCTTTGGGATTGGGATGTAGACTGATCTTCTCCAATCCTCTGGCCACTGTTGAGTTTTCCAAATTTGCTGGCATATTGAGTGTAGCACCTTAACAGCGTCATCGTTTAAAATTTTAAATAGTTCAGCTGGAATATCATCACTTCCACTGGCCTTGTTATTTGCAGTGCTTTCTAAGGCCCATTTGACTTCACTCTCCAGGATGTCTTGCTCAAGGACAGCAAACACACTACCTGGGGTGTACGAGACATCCATATCTTTCTGGTATAATTCCTCTGTGTATTCTTGCCACCTCTTCTTGATGTCTTCTGCTTCTGTTAGGTCCTTTCCACTTTTGTCCTTTATTATGGTAATCTTTGTACGAAATGTTCCTTTCATATCTCCAATTTTCTTGAACAGATCTCTGGTTTTTCCCATTCTATTGTTTTCCTCTATTTCTTTGCATTGCTCGTTTAAGAAGGCCTTCTTGTCTCTCCTTGCTATTTTTTGGAAATTTGCATTCAATTTCCTGTATCTTTCACTATCTCCCTCGCATTTTGCTTGTCTTCTCTCCCCCGCTATTTGTAAGGCCTCGTTGGACAGCCACTTTGCTTTCTTTGCATTTCCTTTTCATTGGGATGGTTTTAGTTGCTGCTTCCTGTATAATGTTACGAGCCTCCATCCATAGTTCTTCAGGCACTCTGTCCACCAAATCTAAATCCTTAAACCTGTTCCTCACTTCCACTGTGTACTCATAAGGGATTTGACTTAGATTGCATCTTACTGGCCCAGTGGTTTTTCCTACTTTCTTCAGTTTAAGCTTGAATTTTGCTATAAGAAGCTGATGATCTGAGCCACAGTCAGCTCCTGGTCTTGTTTTTGCTGACTGTATAGAGCTTCTCCATCTTTGGCTGCAGAGACTGTGTCACACGTTCTCCTGTCTTGTTCCCTATATAAAGATCTCAGGGACGAGACCATCACGCCACTCCTATCTGCCATCCCGGGCCGCTCTTGTGAAGCCAAATTGTTCTCACTCCTAGCCGACCAGAACAGCTCGACAACAGAGAAGGTTGCTAAATTTTTCGAGAGAGCAATGAGACTGAGAGCTGCTATCTGAATGACATCAGTGTCGTCACCCGGATTCCTCGCCTAGGATCTTATCATTATTATCCTTATGTTTTATTATTAGTATTTTATTATCTCTCCTAAGTTTTAGGTGCTGAGATTATTAATTTTTCTGCATCTGGTTATTATTATCTTTCTCCCTGTCCTGACCATTTATATTTATATTCTTTCAATTTGGCTGGTCTATTTACTTAACCGACCTGGAACAATCTACCAGAGAAAAGGCCGCCGCCCATGGGACAGAGGGTCATTGATGAATGATAATCCAGCTTTTACCTAGGGTTTTAATAGGCCATAAGATTATACGGTAACTATATTTGTAATGTATTTTTGTCGGTGTTTGTCCTTTGATGCTATGGCCTGTTGGCTATGCAAATAAAGTCCTTGTTGTTGTTGTTGTTGTTTGGCTGTGGAGAATATAATCAATCTGATTTTGATGCTGCCCATTTGGTGATGTCCATGTGTAGAGTCGTCTCTTGTGTTGTTGGAAAAGAGTGTTTGTGATGACCAGCTTGTTCTCTTGGCAGAACTCTATTAGCCTTTGCCCTGCTTCGTTTTGAACTCCAAGGCCAAACTTGCCAGTTGTTCCTTTTATCTCTTGACTCCCTACTTTAGCATTCCAATCCCCTATAATGAGAAGAACATCCTTCTTTGGTGTCATTTCTATAAGGTGTTGTAAGTCTTCATAGATCCCCTTCATGGATCACTGCCTTGCCGTGGCGAAGGGGCTTGAATAACTCAGAGAAGCTATGAGCTATGCCGTGCAGGCAGTGGCGTAGCATGGGTTGTCAGCACCCGGGGCAAGGCAAGTAATTTGCGCCCCCTAACCCGTGGATTTGCGCCCCCTAACCCCTGGATTTGCACCCCTAACCCTAACCCCCAGATGTTGCGCCCGGTGCGGCCGGCCCCCCCTGCACCCCCCACGCTACGCCACTGCGTGCAGGGCCACCCAAGATGGACAGGTCATAGTGGAGAGTTTTGACCAAACGTGATCCACTTGGAGCAAGAACCGGCAAGCCACTCCAGTATCCCTGCCAAGAAAACTCCATGGACAAAGGCAACAGATATCAAGGTACTATGAAGCAAATAAACATTTGTGGATTAGGCAGCTGTTCCTACAGAAACTGAGAGGATCTCTTCATTTATTTCCAGGAGCTGCCAACATCACAGAAGTAGAAATGATCATGATGGAGAAAGAAAAAGAAACAGGGGAAATGATTGCTCACAGAACAATGACAGTGTTATATCCTGGGATAATCATAAAGGGTATCTGGCTCCTTATAAATCTCCCATTGCTTCAGAGACCAAAGAAGAGGACTTTAACTTAGATGGACATCTAGGATATTGTGACTCCTGGGAATTGAACCGTGTTGCAATATACCCGAATGTCATCAAAAGTGGCAGAATACTATCTTAAGAACAAGGAAGTGAGAAGACAGGAGGCTTCCCTTTTTGGCATTTACAGTTAAGAATGTCTTTAGTTATGCAAATGAATTAGAAATCTTAGGGAGAAATTTAATTTCAATGCTAATTCCAAGAAATCAGCAACAATGAGTTTAGAGACTGAGTTGATGTAAAAATGCACAAATTTCCAAAAACACGGTTAGACTACATATGTGAGGAAATGGGAGAAGGATTTGTGAAGTGCAAAGGGTGGGTTTACTTTAAGTATCTTTCTAGGCATTTGTGTGGCGGCTTTCAGGCTTATTAATTCAATCTGGAACTTGATACACATTTACCTGGGAGTAAGTTCCATTGAAGTTATGGACATGTATAGCATAAAGGGTCACAGTGCCATCTAAGTCACTGCTGATGTACAACAGTGGTTGTGTTCTGCATGTTGATCTTACCTGTCTTTTCACCCTATTTTACTCTTCCTTTAGGTGTTCCTATTGTGCAGCTATGGATCTCCCCCAAAGATGTTCCTTCAGCCAGCCTGCCCTCTTATTCTTTTTGTACTTCTTTGGCTTCCTGTCCCTCTCTACATTCTTGTACTTGTCTGAAAAAATACCGTATCAGCAGTGGAGGATCAGCTTCAAGAATGCACGCAATTTCCCAAGGATGGGAGCTCCTGTTTCCAAAACGGCCACCACCACTTCTTCTCAGTCATACTATAACACCACTTCTTCCAGGTCATCCTCTAAGACAATGGATAGTGGTATGTGGACAGTGAACTCCATTGGCCGTTTGGGAAACCAGATGGGGGAATATGCCACCCTCTATGCCTTAGCCAAGATGAATGGACATCAAGCCTACATCTATCCTGCCATGCACCAGTACCTCTCACCAATATTCCGGATCACTTTGCCTGTGATCAATGCTGAAGTGGCTAAAAAGATCCACTGGAAGGACTTTGTTCTGCATGACTGGATGTCAGAGAGTTATAAACACATCAAAGGCAAGTACGTCCGGCTGACGGGCTACCCATGTTCTTACACCTTTTATCACCATATCCGCCAAGAGATACTTCAGCAGTTCTCCTTCCATGACCACATCAAGGAAGAAGCCAATCAATATCTTCAGGAGCTACGGGGGCAGCGCCAGGAGGTGACATATGTTGGAGTACATGTCCGCAGAGGGGATTATGTCCATTTGATGCCCAAGATCTGGAAAGGTGTAGTGGCTGACAGAGGCTATTTGGAGAAAGCCATGAACTATTTCAGAGAGAAGTACCCCAATCCCATCTTTGTGGTGACCAGCAATGGGATGGAGTGGTGCAAGGAAAACATCAATGCCTCCAGGGGGGATGTTTATTTTTCTGGGGATGGGCGCGAGTCCTCTCCAGAGAGGGATTTTGCTCTCCTTGCTCATTGCAACCACACAATAATGACGATTGGCACTTTTGGCGTCTGGGCCGGCTACCTGGCTGGTGGGGAGACCGTCTACTTGGCCAACTACACCCTCCCAGACTCTCCCTTCCTTAAGGTCTTCAAGCCCTCGGCAGCCTTTTTGCCTGAATGGATTGGGATTCCAGCGGACCTTTCCCCTTTGCTGTCCAAGAATTCTTCCCAAGTCCAGAAGCCAGAAGCTTGAGCAGATAGCTGCTGATTCACGTCAAATTAGATACTGTTGGAAGGACTTGTTTGGCACTGATTCCACGAAGCATGTATGTGAGAGTGGTCACCAGCACTCCTGACTGGGCGCTCAAAGACCTAGCTTCGTCAAACACATTGATTCCACCTCTTTTAGACCTCACTTTGCAGTAAGGTGAAGAGGCTGGGTCAAAACCATATTCTAAGCCCTTCCACCACCAAGCACTTATCAGCAATATGTACACAGGTACCATTTATTCCCTCCCTGGTTCCATTGCAGAACTTTATCTCGCCCCTTATTAGCTCTCTATTTATAGGCTTTGGGAGGAGTAAGAGCAGGAAAACGTTCAATACAAAGCAAGGAAGATGTTTTGCTTTGGTTTCTAGCCTGGTCAATTGTCAATAATGCGCTCAGAGAGACCCACTTCCAGAACTCCCTACTGCTGCCTTGCTTCTTAGTGCCCCCTATGTAATCCGATTGCTTCCCCAAATTCTTAACCCCCCACCTCCGAGTTTGATTGAAGACATCACACAATATCATGCCTTGGGAGTCTCGATCTGGTGGATTGCCATGACACTGGGGAATCATGTGAGCATCCTATGATATTTGTAGGCCACCATGGACCAATAGGCAGAAGAAACTGGACATGGGTCAAAATGGAATATCCGATGCGACCGCTCTATGATGACAGTAGGTCATCATGGATCAAGAGCATGAGGTTTGGAAAGCCCTAGCCAATCAGGGGAGGGGAAATCTGGACATGTTGCAGACTGGCTTTTTCTTTTCTTTTCTTTTTTGGCATGCATAGTCATGCTGTGAGGAGTGGAAGAGGCAGCAAAACCAGTCATGGTTCCTGTGGGTTTTACCTACTTTCCTGCTGATATGAAAAAAAGCTTCAGTAGTGTAGCAAGAAAGCGATCAGTACTAAGGAGCTAATCAATTCCCCCAAGAGCCATGAAGATTAAGCCTAAAAAGGGAGAGTCAGGGAAGTTTTAGACAATCTGTTAAAAGCTTAACAAAACAAGTATTTCTGAGCCTCCTCATTTTGCCCATGCAGCAGTTCCGGCCAAGCCTACCTGTCTTCCCTTTGACTGTCAGGTGCAGGACAGGCAAAGCCTACAGCGCAGCCAAATTCAAAAGGAGGAATCTGGGGTGCGCTCTAACTGTGCATGCGCACTATGCCTTGAAAGCACAGGAAGCAGACTTCCCCACTTGAGGCCACCATTATTGTTGCCTTCTTGGTGTTCCGGGTAGAGCTTAGAAATAAGTTCATCAGCTTTAACTCCAGAATCTTCAGCCAGGGCTCAGAATATGGCCTCAAAGGCCTCGGCCGTATTGCTGCGATAAAAATGAATGTATTGCCTAGAATGTTGTTTTTGTTTCAAACTTTGCAGATTGTTGACAAAATGGATTGTTTCAAGAGGTGGCAGAAAGATATTTCTAAATTTGTCTGGCAGGGCAAGAAACCCAGAATAAAATTTAAAATTCTAACGGATGCTAAGGAAAGAGGCGGATTTGCCCTGCCAGACTTTAAACTTTACTATGAATCAGCAGCCTTTTGCTGGTTGAAAGAATGGCTACTTCTTGAAAACATTGACATTTTGGACTTGGAAGGTTTTAACAATGTATTTGGATGGCATGCATATTTGTGGTATGATAAGGTCAAAGCACATAAAGCATTTAGAAACCACATTGTCAGGAAAGCGCTATTTAATGTTTGGATAAGGTATAAGGATTTGTTAGAAAACAAAACCCCAAGGTAGCTGTCACCAATGGAAGCGAAAGCCTTGAGAAAGGTCAATATGGAGGTCAAATGGCCGAAATATTGGGAAATCTTGGAACAAGATGGAGATAGTCTGAAATTGCAGAGTTTTGAAAAAATTAAAAAACAAAGTGCGAGACTGGCTTCATTACTATCAAATAATGGAGGTATTTAAATTGGACAAGAAAATTGGCTTCCAGGTGGAAAGATCAAAATTAGAAACAGAACTGTTAGAACCCAAAACTAAGAATTTGTCAAGAATGTATAACTTGCTGCTGAAATGGAATACTCAGGATGAAACGGTAAAATCGGCTATGATTAAATGGGCACAGGATGTTGGACATAACATTATGTTTGCTGACTGGGAACAGCTATGGACCACAGGTATGAAATTTACGGCATGTAATGCCTTAAGAGAAAATATTATGATAATGATATACAGGTGGTACATAACCCCAGTCAAGCTTGCAAAAATCTATCATTTGCCTGATAATAAATGTTGGAAATGTAAAGAAACTGAAGGTACATTTTTTCACCTTTGGTGGACGTGCCCAAGGATTAAGGCTTTCTGGGAAATGATATATAATGAATTAAAAAAGGTATTTAAATATACCTTCCACAAGAAACCAGAGGCCTTTCTCCTGGGCATAGTCGGCCAAATGGTGATTAAAAAGGATAGAACTTTCTTTATGTATGCAACAACAGCAGCAAGAATACTCATCGCAAAGTATTGGAAGACACAAGAACTTCCCACGCTGGAGGAATGGCAGATGAAACTGATGGACTATATGGAACTGGCGGAAATGACTGGCAGAATCCGTGACCAGGGAGAAGAGTCGATGGAGGAAGATTGGAAGAAATTCAAAGATTATCTTCAGAAACACTGCAAAATTAAAGAATGTTAGAGTGATGTTGGATCGAAAATAAGTGGTTTCCAGCTGTACAGGTTAAAGTTATTGATAGACTAAGATTAAAGATTAGGATTAAAGATCTTTAAGGAAATGGAAATTTGGTATTTAAGAGGTAAAATTTTAATGCTATATTATATTAAGATTAAAGATTAGGATTAAAGAAGTTTAAGTATTATATATCATATTAAGATTAAAGACTGGGATTAAAAAAGTGGAAAAGAAATTGCTGGACAAACAATTTGGACTGGAATACAAAAGAGGGAGGTATGAGGAAGTCCAGAAAATAAGTAAATTCAAAAACGGAAACGGAAAAGTGATATTGTTTTTAATTGTTATGTTTCTTTTTTTATTGTTGTTTCTTGCTTTTTGTGTTTTTTTTATTTCTTTCTGGGATTTGTATTGTGTATTTGTGTATCTTTTTTATGTTTTTTCTGTTCAATTTTTGATTGAAACCTTAATAAAAATTATTTTTTAAAAAAAATCAAAGGCCTCGGCATATTTTTGGATATCATACGGATCAGGACCTTGACAAGACTAAACAGAGATTTGAATTGTTTTTAAGTTGCTTTGTATGGAAACCTATATTGAGTGAAGCAGGGGTGCCAACTTGAATCAAATATTGCGGGGGCCCAGGTAAGTCCTGCCCCATACAACTGATCACATGATGAAGTGCACACACTCAATTTGAATGGCAATGCCTATCAACTTGAGATCCAGTGTGGTGTAGTGGTTAAGAGCGGTAGACTTGTATTCTGGTGAACCGGGTTCGCTTCTCCGCTCCTCCACATGCAGCTGCTGGGTGACCTTGGGCCAGTCACACTTCTCTGAAGTCTCTCAGCCCCACTCACCTCACAGAGTGTTTGTTGTGGGGGAGGAAGGGAAAGGAGATTGTTAGCCGTTTTGAGACTCCTTAGGGTAATGATAAAGCAGGATATCAAATCCAAATCCAAACTTTGTGGGAGCCCAGCCCCCACAAATATTTTATTGTGGGGGCCAAAGCTCCCACGGCCCCTAGGAGTTGGCTCCTGTGTAATGAAGCCAGTAGGTTTTCATCTAACCTTGGCATATGAAGTGATCTGCTTCGCCAACTCTGTCTCTGTTGCACCACCACAAGAAAATCTGGAGGCAATTTAAAGCTCTTCCTCTCTGCTCATTGTATGGTATTGGGTAC